AGGATCGTACATTGTTTCAATCCGCTGTGCATAAGGTCGCTATGAGTTGGTGCTGACTTGATGGCACCTAACAACAACAACTTCCTAGTCTGTCTTCATCTGAAAACTCTGATGAGATTTTTCCACCATGGGTGACGCTGCTTTGACTGGTCACATGTTGGTGGCATAGCTTCTAGCATCACAGCAACACACAAGCCACCAAGAGAACAAACAGGTCGTACAAATAATGGTCATTATGTCACTGTGTCCTGCCTGCCTTTCAGAAAAGCCTACTATCAGATTTTTCTGATTTATCTCCCTCGACGACATTAACCACATCAACAATATCACTTACATAGTCGAATTAAAACTAGATGGAGACTAACAACAACAACATGACAATATTAATTGCTAAAATATTTTGTTGGTGGAAAGATTTGGAGGGTTGCTTTCTATGTGTCAGATTACAATGGTCAGTGGTGATAATGTACCTAAACCTTGATGGTTTTAAAGGGCAAAAACAGCTTTCATCTGCTGTAGCAATTCAATCAAAAGCAGAAGCCATAGGCCATCATAATGTGTCATCACACTCTCCTGCAGGGAGTTATTGAGGAAGCTCATCTGTGTCCAATTTCCTTCCCACAGTACTAAAAGGTAATTCTTTTTCAGAGTCTGCCCATTTCAATGGCGCTGCTTTAAAACATTCAAATAGCTGGATATGGAGGTCTTAAAAAAAAAATCCTATTAAAGAAAACCAAGCAACTTTCTAGCAACACTTTAATGATGTGTGTATAAAATAACACACTGCATATCACAATACTGTTGTTGCTGTTGTTAAGTGTCGTCGAGTCAGTTCTGACTCATAGTGACCCTGTATAAGGTTTCCAAACAGCAGCTAGTGAATTTGAACCACCAACCTTGGGGTTCAAACCGACCTTGCAGTCCATTGCTTTCCCACAGTACCATACCAGGACTCCATCACAATACATTTTGTTGTTGGTGTTTAGTGCCAAGTCCTATGTGTTCCGACCCATAGTGACCCTGTATAGGGTTTCTAAGAAGAAGCTGCTGAGTTTGAACCGCCGACCTTGCTAATTACTTTGTTACCTTCACTGCTAGTAATTATCGTGAATAGTTAAAAGTCGGCCAAGAATCATTCTCCCAGCCTGAACATCACCATTGATACTAATTGAATTTCAGAAATACTTTCTTGATTTTCAGTTGTTTTTAAAAAGCAACATACAACACAAATGACAGTAAACCTGCAAAAGTGCTGTTTGTAGAGGAATACTGACATCAGGGGTGGTGCTTCCAACCCACACAGTGGTGCCACAGAAGAAAAGTCTGGTGACCTTCTTCCATAAAGATTACAGCCAAGAAAACCCAAAGGAGCAGTTCTACTTTACAACACACGAGGTTGCCATAGTTGGAATGGACTCAACAGCAATGGGTTTTTGTTTTTTTAATGGTTATTATTGTTGTTTAGCAAATGTAAGGCATTTTAAATAAATGTTGGCAAACTTATTATAATGATTTTAAGAGGCGAGCCTATAAGCTGACAAAACAATGGCCCCTGGATTCAAACAATTGGATAAAATCTTGAACAGATTTTGACTTCAATTGTGAAAGACAAGGATATTTTTCCTTAAAATTGTTGCATGCTCGTCAGAAAAGTGTGATTTCCTCCTAGGAACTGTAAGTGAAATTAACGCCCCTTTAATTCACTGAAGAGTATTTGCAACTCATTACATTCACTTCTCAACTGATCTTACTTGACTTATTCACAGGAACAGGTCTGCATATTTTACACCCAAACTGTGAAATAAAGCAGAGCAGAATTGCTCTTACTTTTCACATTATCAAAGGCATAAATCTGCTCCTATTTCTGTCTTCTCCAAGGGTTTCTGTTGTTGTTGTTGTTGTCAGGTGCCATCGAGTCAGAACCGACTCATAGCGACCCCATGCACAGCAGAATGAAACAATGTCCGATCCTGGG